TCATTTCTCCTGCTCTTTGGGTACATCTATGCACTAGACCTACAATACCCAAAGAAACTTGAGCTTACATTCACATTTATCCAGAAGGACAGCAAACCACTGAAAGGGCGTCTACTGACGCTGAAGAATGATTTGTTCAATAAGTGAATCACTCAGAATGGACTACTTGTTGAGCTGAGTATTGAGGAAGTTTTTGGGGGTTTTTTCTAATCATTTGGCTCTTCTACTTCAAATTTAAGGTGAATTACTGCTCATTTAGTGGACTATTCATGTTTAATGTTCTGTTGCCTAATAGCTTAATGCACTACCTGATGTTTGTTCCCAGTTATGTACGGCTGTATAAACCAGTACAAAAAAGTTTGAATAAAAAAAAAAGTTTTTTTTAGTTTTTTTTAAATTGTCAGTGTTGTCACTTTCATGTTTTCTAACACTTTTAGCTGATTATAATTTACTGGGCAAACAGTTTTGAATTATTTTTAAGCGTATTTCCCACATGATTTGAAAAATATTGAAAGTTTTAAGTGTTATTTCCCACATTATCCGTTAAAAAATATTTAAAAAGTTTGAGTTTATTTCCCACAGTGTATGAGTTGCAATATGTAAAAAAAAATTGAGTGTATTTCCCACCTTAAATAAGTTGAAAAATATTGAACATTTTGAGTTTATTATTCCCTAAGTATAAGTTGAGGAATATCAACATTTATAAGATAACATTGAGATAATTTAAGGCAACTGCAAATGTAATTTTTATTTTAGTTGAACTTAAAATATTTAAAAACATCACTAAAATATTGTTGTGTAATCTGTTACACAAGAACGTTTGAGTTCTGTGAACTTATTAGAGTTTACAGTGAATGCGTACACTCATGAGATTTTCATCTTCCATGCTCTTCCATGCTCCGTAGCAATGATGTGTGTGGTAGAGCTTTACTGTGTGTGTGTGCGCTGAATATCAAAAGACTGGGGAGCAGACTGTGTGTTTTGCTAGGCGGTGTTGAGAATCCATTCCTTGCGCCTCCCACCTCATTTCAGTTTTCTGTATTTCCAAGAAATGATTCTCTCACTTTGAGACCGATGTTGTCACAGAGAGAATTTTGGAAATTTTCTGAAGTTATGATGAAAAAAACAAAGATATAAACAAACCATGCAGACATTATGATGTTTGAAAGAGACCAAAAAACAGTGAGAACAAAGTATAAATGGAAACTGTCACTGCAGTGTGTTTAGTGTAAAACAGTTTCCAGGTCAGCTGTATGATTTGGTACTGTTAAAATGTATTACTAGAATCAACAACCAAAGGCTTTTCAAGTTATTATCTTATTCAATAACATGCAATAAAACGATTTAACATTTTCAGCATAGTAACTATTTTTACGTAAGTATTTGTAAATGAATTTGCAGTCTGAGCTACAACCACTTCCACATTTTTTGTGCTTTTGTTTTTGTTTTCTCATTCATAGCCTAAAATAATGAACATATTGTCCTCTTGGGGGAGCCTATACACTGTATAAATACAGAGTAGTTTAAGTTAGATAACACTCACTGACAAACTTCATGTTAAAACCTATATGTTTATTTATTATTTCTGTTAAAATTAAACTATCACTACAAACTACAACAACTATTTTTTACTCATCTAATTTTCAACTATCCTCTAAGTTATATAATATATGTTTTTATAACATAAATTCTGTCATAAAGTTTAGGAACACAACAACCTTCAATCTGAAACTATAATGAAGTTGAACAACAAAAAATATAAAAACGTCAGTGAAGACACAATGTACTTAAAAACGACAACTGAGGGCATTTGTAAATGTATTTGGTTTTGTCTAAACACCAAAGGGTTGTGCAAAGGGTGACCTAGAAAAATATATGGAGGGGATCTGTTATTTTCACATTTGGCATAGATTTTGATATTGTTTTCAATATGAATGTCACCAGTGATGGGAGTAACGGCGTTACTAACAGCGTTACTTTTTTCAGTAACGAGTAATCTAACGAATTACTATTCCTATCTTTACAATGCCGTTACCGTTTCTAACAAGAAAATGCGGTGCAGTTGCGTTACTGTTTTTCAACAAACAGACGGTTGAAGCTGTGTTCAGGTTACCGCATCTTATATCAGTTGCGCGGAAGTAGCTGTAAGTAATCTGAGTGCTGCAGCTTTAAGCAGCTGCGCGGGCTCC